CCACCTGGATGCTTCCAAAGTACCTTGACCTCAAATTTCAGTTACTTGTTCCAGGAAATGAATTGCCTTTTCTCACAAATCTCTTCCTTTTTTATTTCCCAGTCTCTCTCAAATATTTAAGAGTTGTCAGACACTCCTCTCCTCCACAGGCAATACATCTCTAATTCATGTAGACTCTGCCCCAAAAATTGTCCTGGAACCCATATCCTCTTTTCTACCTCTTCAGAATTCCTCATCAGACTACTTTCTAAAGCGTCCAAATTAGTCACATCCATTGCCAATTCATCTCCCATACTGGTTCTAAGAGTGATCCTTCTAAAATGAAAATAGAAGCCCACATTTCTCTTAAAGGCTTCATCAATGAAAATGGACTACGTTAGTGATGGGCATGGTATGGTAACATTTTTGGAGATGTGTAAATTTATACCTCCAAATCATATACAGTGTTATAAACCAATGTTACCTCAATAAAAAAAATGAAAAAATAAAACCTTTACCGAGGAGAAAAAGTCTAAGCCCTGCAGTATGATATGTAAGTTTTCACAATCCAGTGGACAATTCTTTAAAAAAAAAAAGATTTATTTATTCATACATTGGGTACAGGCCAGAGGTGTGGGAGGGTAAGAGAACCCACCAGAGACAGAGCGGGGAGCAGAACAGGCAGAGAACCAAAAACACTGCTGAGGGGAGCAGCGGGCAAGACAGGAGAGGTCTGCCGCGCCATGTGGGTATTTCCCTGGCTGGCCAGGAATCAAACCCATGCTGCAGCCGCAGAGGCTGTGGACAGCCTCACAGAGCAGGGCTCAACCCACTGCACCACCCCGCAGTGGACAATTCTTACTAGCCTCACTCCCGTAGTCAACATCCCCATGCACCAGGCAAATCCATTTAGAAAAGCTTCTAACATTTCACCCCCTAAAAAGGCTTCCCTCACTCCAAACTCCTCCCCAATATTCATCCCTACCAGTATCCCTTTTCTTTCTTACTCCTTCCTTCCCTCTCTTCTCCCCTCCCTCCCTCTCTTCCTATCCCCACCCCATGTCTTTCTCTTGAAATTGTCTTAGATGCTCAAAGGCTGAGCCTTACATCCAGCTCTACATCCCCAATACCCAACCTAGTACCATACCTGGTTTACAGAAAGTGTTTCACGGTACTTATTAAACTAAATTTAAATACTCTTTGGTAATATGTAAAACCCTAAGCAATAGTGGAGTTCAAAAAGTTCATGTTTTAATTAGACCCATTTCAACATTAAAATAACCAACACTCAACTTAACTTAAAAAGAGGGTTGGCAGTTGATTAGAGCTATAACTTCTAGAGAGAAATTTTGTTTGCTTCTTTCACCTCTGCTTTCTCAAAGATGTCAGTTTGTATACAGCCAGTCCAAGCCTCATAGCTCAGGTCTTCAGCTTCCATCCTCACTGCTAATGCAATTTACCTCCATATAATCTAATTTCAAATTTCTGAGAGGGTGGTTTACATTTTGATTTTTGGCACCATGTTCTTTCTCTCTCTAGTAAAACCAGATCATTTGACTATGGTTAGGTGCTATGTGAAAATCTCCAGGACCCACCAATAACTCACATTCCCCCAACTCTCAACTCAATACACTATTTTCACTTCCTTAGAACCACTACTGAAACATATCACTAAAATTATTTGGTAATACTTTTAAAAAACAAGTCTTGCCAAGACTTGTTCACAGTGAGAAAAATCCTGCATACTTCCGTTAATGAACGTTCCAAATGTGAGAAGAGTTAGCAATCTTTTTATTTCTAAATGTGCACACAAAGAATCCCTGAATTGCTATAACTACTCAATAGTAGTTAGTTTAAAAAGCATTTTTACAAGGTTTTTGCAAAATTTCCCACATATTTATAATGTAAAGAAATAAGTAGTCTCACACATTTCCTTGTTAAAATCAAGTAACTTTATATAAGGATAAGGGCATACAATGGCAATCTATCACTAACCAACAAAACCTGTTTCTCTTCTTCCAAACTAACACCCCTAGGTAATGATTGATGAGGGAAGGCCGCTCACTGACAAGCTCTCATGGAGAGGAAAAAGGGGTACAGGCAAAGACTCTTAGGTGGTCTCCAATAAAATCAGATTCTCAGTGCTATTAATGCCCTGCTTTAAAACTTTAAAAATCTAATTAAATATCTAGGGAAATGGCACATTTTCACTAAGAACAAATTTAACAGAATGAGAACACTAAATACATTTCTTTAAAAAAAAGAGCAATTTATTTTCTAAAACGTTTGGCTGTTCTTAGATTTAGCACTTACTGGAAAGAAATACTGTTAGAAATGAATAAGTGGGGGAAAAAAAGAAATGAATAAGTGGAAAGCCAGAAGATTTGAGGGAAATGAAATTTTTTCAAATGCAGATTGTCCTTACATTTCTTGTTATAAAGGAAGGATTTTCAATTTTAAAATCAGGTAGGTGTTCCAGTTAGCCAACCTGTTTATTAACTATTCTTGTTGGTGACTCACTTCAGTTTCATCTGTAGTAATGAGCAGCTGACTATATATCATAACCATCAGTTTAGACTATTGTTAATAAACATATAATCTCAACATATCTAATTTCAGAGGATAGAAATTGGTACGATTTAGAGTGTTGATGTTGTCTTTAAATAAAACTTAAAATGAAGGCACTATTAAAAAACTTTCATTGAACAAAAAGTTCTAAAGGACAAGGGGTTAATTCTTTCCTTAGCAAAAATCACGAATAAAAAGCTCGAAAGGACAAGGGGTTAATTCTTTCTTTAGCAAAAATCGTAGGTTTTATAAATCAAAGAAAATGTTTACTCGAATGTCTTGGAGAACTCTTAGTTAAGCACTAAAAAGATTAATGTCCTTATTGTTTTTTAAAGACAATTGGAGCAATAAGACAAGAAAATATGACACCTACAATCCTAAAGGATAGCAGACTGTGATTTCTTTCCAAAGGAGTTTACAACGATTTCAATTTATAAACTAAGCCTATTAACATGTTTAAACTAATACAAATAGGAAAATAGGGAGAAGTCCTCATTTCTTCACCTTTCATAGCTGGAGTCACTGGAAACAATCAAAATTTGATAAGACAGAGAATAATACATTATTTAACATCATAAGGGTATGAAAAAAATATTAGTTTAACAGTCAAAAACTAGGAAAAGGAGAGGAAGCAAAAGGTAGTGTGCACCCAATTTCTCATCTTTCAGGAGAAAGAATTAATATACTTTCTAACTGAAAAACCATGAAACAGGAGTGTAACTTTTGAAGATATAAAGACAACCTCAGAAAAACCAAAAATAAACTAACAGTAATTATCTCTGGAAGTTGGGAAGGTGGGGGACACTTTTTAGTTCATACCTTTGTACAACTTGCACTTTCCTATCCTATGTGTGTATTCATTAATCTATTTTTTATAAACTATCAATAATCAGACATCATTTTTCAAAAAAAAGAACACATACTATATAGCTCATTCTCTGTACCTAATAATTCATGGATTGTCAATTTCATAAAGTGGAATATGCTCTGAAAATGAAGTATCTCATCCACTGAATTAAAGATAAGGTAAGGAAGCAAAGCTTTTCCCCCACAGTGCAAAGTTCACAGCTGATCATTCTCAAGTCAAAACATCTGTAACAACTACAAACTTCAAAAATATACAAAGGCTTCTAGGTACTGTTTTACAACCAAGGCCTCCTTGATCGATTTAAGCAAAAACACTGATATAATACTGTCCAAAATAAGTCTTGTAAACTACTCCTTAATACAGCAAGCTAATAAACAGAGGGCAGGGTTTCTGGTAGCAAACAAGCTAATACGTCTTTACATCAAATAAGTAAGGCATTTAGGGGATTTAATTTTCTTTGAAATCAAGAGAGGTATTTTGAAAGTTTGCTATCTTCACTGATCCTCTCAGGAATGTAAAAGTATGCATTGCAATTTCAACCTCCTAAGTGCTTAAGTTTATTGTTTTTTGTTTTTTTTAAAGTAATTTATTTCTGCTTGGAGAAGCAGTAAGACAGGCCAAAGCAGTTGGAATTTCTGTTAACCCCTAGTTTCAAAGCTTTATACTCACACGGATATTTCACCTTTCCATATACTCCTAAATGTAATTATCTCCAAGAAATTTCAAATCACAACCAATTCAAAGGAAGGGGGGCACTTCAGGTCACAGATGATAGGATGTGATTTACTACAACAATCTTAGGACTGGATTATTTCTGGTAACTACAGGAGTTATAATTTAAGTAATAATGAGTAAAGATCACAGATTTTAAAATTGTGCCTTGGCTGCTCTTCTTCTGACCTTGCAATTCTCACTCACTATATCAGATGGTCCTTGAATAAACAATGACCAAGAAGCGTTCACAAAATTTTCATTTATACAAATACGATCTAATTTTGGTGAGACTTAAGTACCTAATGCACATCCCTGAAAAAGCATCAACCTTACTCAAATCCTAACTCCTGTGTCTAAAACACTGGCAACACGACCGTAATCCAGACACATTTCGTGAACTCTTCTAGGCAATGAAAACAAACCTTAGAGAACCAGAGGCTTCAGGCCTGCTGGTGGCCAAAAGGGCCGGCAAAACTGAAGCAGTTCTGTAGTCTAAGGAAACTGAATTCGCTGAGGCATCGCTCGGAATCAATTCAGACTTAAGGACGGAAAGCCCTTGCACAGCTCTTAGGAAGCGAGTCCAACACATCAAATTGATGAACCTGCTCTGTCCCAAGGCTCCTGCCCCAGACCACGCAGGCCGCTCGGCTGAGCGCCCCCCGGCGCCCGGCACCACACCTGGGGGCGCCCCCGGACGCCAGCCCCGAGCCCCACTGCCGACCACTCGGCCACCCATCCCCAGCGGCCGGAGTCGCGCGCCCAGCCCTACCCGCCCACAACGCCTCCGGCCCCTCAGCCTCCCCCCTCCAGGCCGAAGCGGAGCCGGCCGTTCCCTCCCCCGCCCCGCTCCAGCCGGGCGCGGGACACTCACCCGCGGTAGTAGGCTTTCACCCGGACCTGGTGAGCGTGGTCCCCGCCGCCGCCGCCCGCGACCGGGTGGGACATGGTACCGCTGTCCCTCTGGGTCGGCATCTCCTCGCTCCCCCGCCTCAACGCCCGAGGCCGCGGGTGCGGGGGGCGCGCGGGCGCCGCGGGAGACTCCGCGACCTGCCCTCTCTCAGCGCCGCGGCCGCGCGCTCCCTACCTGTGCTCCCCGCCCGCCGCGCGGACCCAAGGGTCGCCTCGTCCGGGCAGCCGGAACCGCGCGGCTCCTCCCACCGCCCGCAGCTGCCACAGCCACTGCGGCCGCCCGGGCCCTGCACGCCTCCCCGCCCCCGCCCCTCCCACCGCGCGCGCTCCCAGGGCCCGCATTCCCAGCCCGGGCGGGCGCAGCCGAGGCCCCGGCTCCAGCGCCTCGATGCCGGGCTGAACCACTCTGACGGGGGGGGAAGAGAGGGAGCGAAGGGGAGGCTCCGACCCTCACATCAAATACTGCAGAAGAGGGTCTTTTGTAGAAGTTATCCCTGAGAGAATACGAAGGTTTGGGGACCGTCGTTCAGTAAGAAGCCCCTTCCCTACAGGAAAAGTGCTAAGGGGCAAAAGCTGCGACGTCTTCCCCCTATTTCCTAGCTTGGTCGCGTCCTCAGCGAACTTGGGACTCCGGGTAGATTTGCCGCACGGGTTTCTGGGATTTGGAGTCCCGGTGGGATTCTGGGTCTGGAGTGTCCTCGCGTGCGGAACGCTCCGCCTTGTTGCTGACAGTCGGGTCTTCAGCTAGCGCCACCGGAGCGGACGACGTGGAAATCCTGATGCTTGGGCATCTGAGGGCACTGGGAATGACTGCGTTTCGTTAAAATGTAGACGTTGTTCTCTGATGAATTCACCCTTCCAATTGCATAAACAACGCAATCTTACAGTTCCCTTTTTTGAGAACAAAAATTTGATTACCTGCTCAGCATAACTACTTTGATGAAAGTAGCAGATGAAATAATATACAGAAATGGAACAGATGAAATAATGAGGATAATAAAGGAGGAAGCATGACTAGAAGATATGTTGGAAGACTGACTGTTCTTCCTTCTTGGCCCATGTTGTTCCTTGCATATTGTCATTGCATTGAACAGGGGCACAATAAAGGGCCCATCATCCATCCATCCTCATCTTTACCAATACCTAATTTCAGGATATTGTCATCTGCTCGCCCAAGAAAGTAAATACTTTTCAGCAGTAACTCACCAGTCTTCTTAACTTCTAGCAATCGCTAATGTACTTTCTGTCACTATGGATTTTCTTATTCTGGATCTATCATATAAAGGGAATCATACAATATTTAACCTTTTGTGTCTTTCACTTAGCTTAATGTTTTTGAGATTTATCTACGTCTTAACAATTTATCGCTTTTTCATTCCTTTCTATGGCTGGTTGATAGTCCATTGTACAGGTATTCCACATAAATGCTTCTGTAATATATATATATATATATATATAGAGAGAGAGAGAGAGAGAGAGAGAGAGAGAGAGAGAGAGAGAGATTTTGGGTGAACATGTTTTTAATTCTCTTTCATTGCTGAGTCATATGGTAACTCTATGTTCAATATGGTAAGGGAATGACAAACTGTTTTCCTATGTGATTGCACAATTTTATATTCACAGCATCCACGAAAGAGTTTCAACTTCTTTGTATCCTAACTCTTATTTTTTCCTTTCCCTTTATTTTATTTATTTTTATTTTTTTATATCTTATTTTATATATTTTCTACACCTAACTCTTATTAATGCCTGTCTTTATTATAACCAACCTAGTGGTTGTGGAAATGATTTTGATGTGCATTTTCCCTAATGAGTAATCATGTTGAGTATCTTTTCATGTTTTAATTTACCATTTGTGTATTTACTTTGGATAAGTGTTTATTCAGATCATTTGGTTACTTTTATATTGGATTACCTCTTTTCATTGAGTTATAACCCCGGTGGCGCAGCGGGTTGAGTGCAGCGCTATGAAGCTGTCCACAGTCTCTGCAGCGCAGGTTCAATTCCCGGCCAGCCAGGGAGATACCCACATGGTGTGGTATACCTCTCCTGTCTCACCCATTGCTCCCCTCAGCAGTGCTTTCGGTCCATCTGCCTGTTCTGCTTCCCGCTCTGTCTCTGGTGAATCCTCTCACCCTCTGGCCTGTACCCCAGCCTGTATAAATAAAATAAAAATAAATCTTAAAAAAAAAGTTCTTTGTATTCTGGAAACAAGTTCTCTTGTTAGATCTTTTGGAAATTAAGTTCTTTTTTCTATTCTGTGCGTTATCTTTTCATTTTTCAGTGGCATCATTTGCAAACAAAAGTTTGTTTTTTGTTTTTTTTTAAATGGGGTAAATTCTAACTAGCACAACAAATGTTGGCAAGGATGTGGAGAAAAAGGAACTCTCCTGCACTGCTGGTGGGAGTGCAAACTGGTCCAACCACTATGGAAAGCTGTGTGGAGATTCCTCAACCTACTAAAGATAGAGCTTCCATATGATCCAGCAATTCCACTCCTAGGTATTTACCCAAAGGACACAGAAACATCAATTCCAAAGAGCACCTGCACCCCTATGTTTATAGCAGCACTATTTACAATAGCTAAGCTTTGGAAACAACCCAAATGCCCAAAAATAGATGACTGGATCAAGAAGATGTGGTACATATACACAATGGAATATCACTCAGCATTCAAAAAAGATAAACACATGCAATTTGCAGCAACATGGATGGAGCTGGAAGGGATCATGCTCAGCGAAATAAGCCAGAAAGAAAAAGAAAAATACTGGATGGTCTCACTCATAGCAGGAATCTAGAAAACATAAATAAGGGACCAGGACAAAGAATAACTCTAAGAAAGAAGGGAGGGATTGGGGTCAAAATAAGGGGGTTGCAATTGTATGGGGAATATAAAAATAAAATTAAAATAAATAAATAAAAGTGGTAAAAAAATAAATGGGGTAAATTCTTCCTCTTTTTTTAAATTTTATTTTATACAAGAAATGGGGTACAGGCCAGAGGCATGGGAGAGTGAGAGGATTCACCAGAGACCGAGCAGGGAACAGAACAGGCAGACTGATGAAATACACTGCTGAGGGGAGCAGCAGACGAGACAGGAGAGGCCTGCCATGCCATGTGGGTTTCTCCCTGGCCGGCCGGGAATCGAACCTGTGCTGCATAGGCTGTGGACAGCTTCACAGCACCGCGCTCAACCCGCTGTGCAGCACAAAAATTTTTAATTTTGATGAAGGCAAATTTATCTAGGCAGTTGTTATGTATGTTTTGGTGTCATGGCAAAGAAGACATCACCTAACCTAAGGTCATGAAGATTTGTAAGTATGTTTTCTTCTAAGAGTGTTCTAGTTTAACCTTTTCCATTTAGGGCTATGATCCATATGCATTAAATGTGGTATGGAATGAAAATAAGTGGTCCAGGGCCTCCCCGGTGGCGCAGCGGTTGAGCGCTGGGTTGCGAGGCTGCCCGCTGCCTCTGCGGCGCCGGTTCGATTCCCGGCTGCTCCCCGGCCACCGGAGGAGGGTCCCACATGGCGTGCAGACCTCTCCTGCCGCCCGCTGCTCCCCTCAGCAGTGTACTTCGGTCCTTCTGCCTGCTCTGCTCCCCGCTCTGGCTCTGGTGAATTCTCTCACCCTCCCGCGCTTCTGACTGTACCCAGTGCATGTACGAACAAACAAATAAATAAATAAATAAAATATGCCTCTATAAAAAAAAAAAAGAAAATAAGTGGTCCAAATCATTTTTTTTTTTTTTTGTAGGTGGATATCCAGATGTCCCAGGATCGTATATTGAAAAGATGTTTCTTTCCTTCATTTAATTGTCTTGCATACTTGTCAAAATTTAATTCATGGAACTGTAAGATTTTATTCCTAAACTTTCAATTTTAGTCCACTGATCTATATGCATATCCTTTTACAACAAACACACTGTTTTCATTATTGTAGCTTTGTTTGTTTATTTTTATTTTATAAAGATTTATTTATTTATGCATACAAGAGCTGGGGTACAGGCCAGAGATGCGGGAGGTGAGAGGATCCACCAGAGACAGAGTGAGGAACGTAACAGAACAGGCAGACTGACTGAAATACACTGTTGAAGGGAGCAGCGGGCGAGACAAGAGAGGTCTGCCTCGCCATATGGGTTTCTCCCTGGCTGGCCAGGGATCGAACTCATGCTGCAGAGGCTGTGGATTGCTTCATAGTGCGGTGGTTAACCCCTTGTGCCCCCAGGGAGGCCCCATTATTGTAGCTTTGTAGTTAACTTTTAAAACAGAGATATTTGAGCACTCGCAGCTTTGTTTTTTCAAGATCAGTTTGACTATTTGGGTCCTTTACATTTCCATGTAAAATTTAGGATCAGTTCTCAATTTCTTTTTTTTTTTTAAAGATTTAATTATTGATTGATACAAGCACTGGGTACAGTCAGAAGCGCCGGAGGGTGAGAGAATTCACCAGAGCCAGAACAGGGAACAGAACAGGTAGACTGACAAAGGGGAGCAGTGGGTGCAGCAGGAGAGGTCTGTTGCTCCATGTGGGAACCCTGCCTGGGCCGGGGATCGAACCGGCGCTGCAGAGGCTGTGGGCAGCTTCGCAGCCCAGCACTCAACCTCTGCGCCACCAGGGGAGGCCCAATTCTCAATTTCTTAAAAACTGTCAGCTGGGATTTTGATAGGGATTGCATTGAATCTCTTGATCAGCGTGTGATCAGTCTGTTGATCAGGCATATTGTTATATTAATGATGTTAAGCATTCTGATCCAAAGTGTCTTTCCGTTTATGTAAATATTTAATTTCTTTCAAAAATGTTTTTTAGTTTTCAGAGGATAAGGCTTACACTTATTTTATTAAATTTATCCCTAATTATTTTATTCCTTTCTAAGCTAGTCTTTTCTAAGCTATTATAAACGGAATTGCTTTCTTAATTTCATTTTTTTAAATTATTCATTGCTAGAGTATTGAAATACCATTGTTTTTACCTATAACTTATATCCTACAAGCTTGCTGAAGTCATTTATTAGTTCTATTAGTATTTTGGTGAATTACTTAGGAGCTCCCATATACAAGATTATTTCATTTTAAAATACAGATTATATATTATAATACAGATTA